ACACGTCTGGTTGCCTGAGCTGAGGCAGGTCCCGGCTGCCTGGCCCTTGCAGACCGTGCTCGACGCTTGGGTCCACCTGAATGCGAACAGATATCTGGACCCGTTCAAGGCTGATGTCCAGACGGCCAATGCGGCGCTGGAGCTGCGCCTGGAGGAGCTCTGGGCCTCGCAGCCCGAAGCGGTGGCGCGGTGCCTTGAGCTCGAGCCGTCCGAGGCACCGCGGGAGGCGAAGCTGGCCAAGGCGCTGAGCCGCTACGGCCGGGCCGAGGTGCAGCGATGCTCTGTGACGCACTTCACGGCCCAAGGCTTGGTGCGACAGGAGTGCTGGACTGCAGTTTGTTGGGCAGACTTCGACGCTCGCTGCAGGGAGCTGGCCAGGCGCCTGGTGGCGGCCGAGGCCAAGGCCGGGGAGGCGAAGCGGCGGCGCCTCGAGGAGAGCGTGAGCTCCTCTTGGAGGGAGCTGCAGGCGGCCAAGGAGGAGACCGCGAGGCACCGGCTGCGCTGTGAGGAGCTGACTTCCCGTGTGGCCGAGCTGGAGGCCGCGGCTTCAGAGAAGTCCATTCAGCTCCAGGCGGTGCATGAGGAGCGCGCTCGGCTCGCAGATCGCCTTGGAGAGGCAGAAGCGGAGGTCCGGGCTGCGCATGTCGAAGCGGTCAAGCAAAAGGAGCAGCATCAGCAATTGGAAGCTCGAGTGCTCGCACTGGAGGCCGAGAAGGCGGCTCAGCTCCAAGCCTTTGAGGAGCGCATGCAGTGTTCCGGAAGCATGGTCAGTGTGCAGACGACTTGGGTCATTGAGAATGCAGTTTACAAGGAGCGCAGCGAGCGGCTCAAAGAGCAGCTGGACAGAACCCTGACCAAAGCGGAGGCCGACATGAGTGCGAAGGAAGAGGAGTTGAAAGCTCTTTCGGAGGAAAAGGGCAAGTACAAGGAACGCTGCAATCAGCTGCAGCAGCAGCTGGCTGATGCCCAAACGCAAGCCCTGCACCTCAGCAAAAGGTCTTCCTTGCATCCCACTTTCCCAAGTCATGGCCCGGCTGTTGGCGAACAATCTAGCAGCCCTGAATCGCATGCATCAGACCAGCTGGGATATGTCCTGGTAGAGGACGACGTCGCCTCCGTGCTCAGCAGCGCTTCTTGGTTCTCAGTCAAACCCCAATGCTTCATGATGGATTCCGTTTTCAAGACCCGCAGCTACGGCATCGATTTCTTCATGATGGGCAAGGACCTTAAGGCAGGGTCTCAGGTTGTAGCTGGGAATGACCAGGACCTGTTGACCGTTGCCAAGGCGCCCGAGGTTTGCAAGGCAAAGGAAGTTGTCATCTTGCAGGCGGGAAATGCGACTCTACAGGTGACCCCGGATCACCTTGTCCAGGTTCCGGTGAACAAGAAGGGCCCCGCGGGCAGCATGCAGTACACCCAAGCTGGTACCCTGAAGCCAGGTGATCTTGTCGTTCTCGATTCGGGCGAGCCGATGGCCCTCACTAGCGTAGAGTCTAGGCCTGTGGATTGCGAGGTGTTGAAGCTTGTCTTTGAGCCGGACCTTCCTATTGCTGTCTTTTCATGCCCGCAGTGCATTCTGAGCAAATGCCAGAGGAAGACATCCATCCGGCGCGGAGGTATGTCTCAGAGGGGTCAAGGGGTGCCAGATCAGACGGAAGACGGACGAGTCTCCATTCCCGTCACCACAGGTCAGTACATGGACTGAGCCATAGTTGCATGTATTGTGGGGAATCAGGTAGTTCGAAAGAATTCTACAGTATGCAGAAATACAGCTTCCAGACGCCATTTCTTGATAGTTGTTTGGTTGAGTTGAGACCTGGTATCCTGCAGAGCGCACATCTTAGTCTCCGGTGGTGCCCAGCCAAGCTGCTCAGCGCACGGCCTAGCGTCCAGTGCCTCGGCTTCTTGGCTTTGTCACCGGAGCTTGCTGAAGAGCAGCGCACGCCATCCCAGAATTGCACTGTCATCGGCATGAGTGTAAGTGAGGCTTGTGGGAGAATTCTTGGGACGCGCAGTGCCTACTTGACAGCCATCTCGTTTAAAGTCACTTCCGGGCACTCAATAGGGGACTACAATTAGATTACTGGCAACATCGTTAGCTATCTTATTCATAGAATTGTGCGGAGCCAAGTGTACTTCTTTGAAGTGTAGCCGGGAATTAGCGTGGCTCGTAGCTCCGCAGTTTTGCACACTGGCGCAAAAGATCGCAGTGTGATCCTTCTGAACCCATCCACCAACTAGGTTCTTCATAGCGCCTTGTTGGGATAATACTCGGGCCCGAGTTTGGGCATTGTTTTGTGGCAGCGGTGATTTGTGTTTTGGGTTCATGTGGTTGCTAGAATTCGTACCTCAGACTTTGAAGGAAGGATCTCTTCTGCCAGCTTGTCCCCAACTCCCTATTTGCTCCTTATGTCAACCCTTCTCCTTACCTCAATGTCACTTGTGGGAAACGGATGCCGATTGCGTTTGCATTCTGGTTCGGAGTATGTGTTGGAGCAGGGAGTTGGGCCTTGCCAACCTCAGTGGAAGGGGGGTTGTGCATCTTCCAGACATGCGCTATGGGAGGTTTTTCAATATTACCCTATGTAATCCCGGGTAACAGGGACCCCTAAAATCTCCTCATGGCCCTTTGCAGGGGTCCCCAATTTTGCGAAACTGCTATGTTGCAAGCACCAGCACCTGCTGATGATGCAAAAGCGGCCGTGTGTTGTTGAAGCTGCCTCAACTGCACATACAGAATAGGTCATCAAAGAGGTCCTCTTGCGGGCTCTAAAGAACATGTCCTTTCCAGGCGCGCAGCATGTCTTGGCACTTATGCAACGCAGACAAAATCTGTAGGATGAATTTGTAGCAGACCACCTATTGCCGTAATTAGTCCCTGCACGATGTGGCCACAAGCGGCCGAAATCTGTGGTGCCTGCATGTGACAGCCCGCGGCAGGTGTTGGAAGTCGACATCTCTGGCAACGCGATGGGTGCTGAGGGTGCCAAGGCCAGAATTCCGGACTCATAAGCTACATGATTGTGAACAGGTTTATTGAGGCAGCGTCCACTTGAACCCTCCAATTCATTTCTTAAAAATTCAGAAGCTACTCTCTGCGAAGCCCAATCGCAATCCCTCACAATGAAGGGGAGATTCAGGCGCAGGATGTAAGCCTGGACTATCCCGCTTCCAGCTTTTCATGTTGACACGGCTACTTGAGGTGGGTAAGATCTCCCATGATTACGGTAGACCACCAGGGATGCTTCCTGCACGGGCTGATCTTTACATAGGAGCTTCAGATTAAGACATAGATGGCAGCTGCCAAATTTGCACGTCATCATTCATGAGGCCGCTAAGAAAGAACTGGTGTGCACCAAGAACCGTCCACGATCGTATAAAGCCTCAGCCACAATAATTACGATTCTGACTCCGCCAAGACATCCTAGGACCAGTTGATTTTGAGGCCCTTTACATCGCTATAAGCCCCAAACCCTACGACTGCATGTTGAGTAACGCCCTCAACTGTAAACCACCAGCCGCAGGCTCTTGCCGCTGGCCTACCCAAGGCCCTGAAGGCAGGAATGGAAAAGCAAATGGAAAAAGGTCACATAGGGATTCTAGCAATAAAGAAATGGACAATGAAATGGGAATTTCTGGCCAAAGAATCGGGATGAAGGAGGTGCTTGCCAAGCTTTTTCGGGATAAGGGATGCCCGTCTTAGTGTCAACCTGCAGATCCCATCTCTGAAGACTGAACACCAGACGTCAAGTCCGGGTTTTCCCAAATTAAAGCAGCATGCCGCAGGTGACTTGTCTAGTTGGCGCCTGTTTGGAACCGGAAAATTTGCGCAACCCTAAGCCTTCAACACCGAAGCTTTAAACTGGGTTGCTGATAAGGAACTTAAATTAAGGTACCATAATGGTTATAGGGTTTAGGGTTTAGGGTTACCATAATGGGTATATATAGTAAAAAAAATAGGGTTTCCCCAATATAGTAACTTAATTTAAGTTCCTTAACAGCAACCCAGTAAACCGGTGTACGTGAGCTCTATACAAATCTGCTGGCGAGTCAGAGCCTGTTTCTGAAAGAGACACTGGGTAGGCCCCCGGGATATTTAATATTTTCCCTAACGGCCTTAATAAGAGACTCTATATACGAATATTTTTCAAAGAGTTTTAGGGACCAACCCAGGACATGACCCTAAACCCTACACCCTAAACCTTAAACCCTAAACCCTAAACCCTAAACCTTGAACCCTAAACCCTAAACCCTAAACCCTAAATGCTGAACTTTGAGTCCTGGATTGGCCCTGAGCCGCGAGAACTCCCGAAGGTCAGCCATCAAGCTGCAAACCTGCGCCCGGGTTCCCAATTTTAGGAGTACCCTTTTGGGGGTCCCCATTATAAGGATCATAGTATTTTGGGGTCCATATTGGGGTCCTCTATTTAGGGCAACTACCAGATGCCCCCAGAATGAGAACGCGTATGTGGTTGGTAAGAGGGGGACCATTCTCTTTCAGCATTCCCACAGTCAGCTCAAGCCCCTTAACATTATTCTCCATCATAACCTTCATGGAACTATAGCGCCGTATCAACCCCGAACCCTCTCGACCTTGGGAATTTTGAAGCTGCTCCAGGTTCTAAAGTTGAACCTATCGCGGAACCGACTGACGCTGGAAGGGGTTCAGGGCTCAGACATGCGACATTTGCTGAAGTTATCACCTGTCGAAATCGGAAGATGTTGCTCGTAGAGTTGTTGCTAGCAGCTTGCGTGAGATGTTCTGTTGAACGTGGAAGTGAAACCCTTCTGTCCGGGCTCACCTAACCAGCACAGTGCCATCGTCGCCACGATCCGGATCTATGCTCTTGACTTCTTGGCCAGGATGTTACGCTTTATATTGGGTTTCTTGGATTCTGGTCTGTGTTATTTCTCTAGTTTCACGCAGGGGGTGTGTTGCGTTAGGGCTTCATTGCGGAAGCCACTTACGAAAGGTGATGGTCGTGTGGTTGCTTGGGGCCATGCAGGATTCTCAATATCAACAGTTGCCCCAAGCCCCCAGCGCAGAAACCCGAAACCCTAAACTCTAGTCTAGTCCTGGGCTCGGAAGACGGAACCCCGAAGCCTCAAGATCGAGGCATCCGTCACTGAGGCTTCCATGCGCTTCATGGCGGAATAGCCTTTAAATAACGCTAGCTTTTAGCGTTCAGGTCCAGCAGGGTGTTCGGTCTCGGCCTCGTAGGGTTTAGAGCTTCGGGATAAGATTCACTTTATGCCTTGAATGCTTCCAGGTGAAAGCGATCGCCGCCGCCATCCCGAAGAGTGTGGAGGCAGGGCCCACGCGGCCGTCGGACTCCGAGTTACAGGGAGTGGGCCAGGCTAAGAGCTGGCTGACGAGCCAGGGTAGCAGTTCTTATCTGGTTGCCTCGTCTTCCGCTGGGCTCTAGACCGATTTCTGTGCTTTAGGGTCCACCGTCTAGGCTTCATGGTTTAGGTTTTAGGGTAGAAAGATGGGCAATCTTGACATGTTTACAGTTTCGGAGGGGTCCTTCCAAGCTCGGTGAGAGTCTCGCCTAGTTCTTAAGCCCATCAGCCAAGAGCACTGTGACCTCTGAGCCTGAAGGCTCAGCAAAGAGGCCCAAAACATGTTCATCACTATGATCCCAGATTGCTTGGATAAAGTCTGGTATAGGGTACTTGAAGACCTCAAAATGGTATCCGTAGTTTCTGAGACCTGTAGCTTAAGCATTTCATCCGCCCTGGCGGAAAGGAGCTGTCTCTGGGCTTCTCCGGCATGAAGATGGGCCTGGGGCCTGGTCTTGGCGGTGAGGATGGTACAGGATCTAGAGTGTTTCGGGTGCAGGGCTTAGGGTTTAGGTTGGTGGGGGTTAGAATACAGTCAGGGACTATAGGGTGCATGGTAGTTGGCGGCAGAGCAATCAAGACGTCTCTTTACGTGCTATTTGAGCCATAATCAAGCAGGTTCCCTTGTATCTCAGAGCATCCCACTCACAGAAATCGGACAAACCTGAGATGCGGCGTGTTACTTGGCAATCCTTCAGTAGCCGCCTCCAAGGCTTCAATGGCTTGACATGGAAGTATGGTGCACATTGTCAAAGCACCTCTCACCCTCAAAGTTTCCCAAAATTAGGGGTACCATTTTGAGGGTCCCAAGAACTAGGATTATAGTATTTTGGGGTCTATATTGGGGTCCCCCTGTTTTGGTAAGTTACCATATCTCGTATCCCATAAACGGTTCACAACCTAGTAGGGCTTGATGCTGGTTTCGCGTTAAGGTCCATCGGGCGCAGCCATGTTGGCGGCAGCTTTTCCTCCGCAGGCTGTGACCTCGGTCGACAGGATTCGGAGTTTGAACTTTTTCTAGGGCGTACCAGGATTCACATTGGCTTTGGTTCTCTGCTTTGGTATTGTTACAGAATCCATGAAAGCCCGTTTTCTTCAGCCTGATGGCGCCGGACAGATGCCCATACATTGTGTTGTATGGTAGACGCTAGAAGGACACATTATATTTGTAAACGGATCTTGCGGATTTCTTCAGGTCCAAACCCTGTCCGCGCTTGCTTAGGTCAAGGCCAGCCCACCTACTCTGCCACACAGAGAAGACTTTCATGGGGTTTGGGGAGCGAAGACTCCATGAGCCCCAAAGCACGCAACCGTAAGCCACAAATCCCAGCCCCCAAAACGTTGCGCTGCAAACTTCAAACCACGCAGGCAAGGAAACTCCCAGATTTGAGCCCTATTGATTGTAGGAGTAGGAGACTAAACCCCATTTATCCTTTGCATATACAACCATCTCTGTAGCACCCTTCTACCTGGACTCTTATACCCTACCCCTCTGTTGGAGTACTTCCTCTTTCTTTAGAGAAGATGTACTAGTCCTAAAGTTAGGTCCCCTGGAAAAATGTGTAGAGTATAAGGTATGGATGGGTCTGAGATACCCTGAACCCTGACCCCTAAAACCCTAAAACCGAAATCTTAAACCTTAACCCCTAAACCCTAAACCACACCCCAAAAAAACCAAAGCCCTAAGGCCTAAACCCTAAAAAACCAAAGGCCTAAGGCCTAAACCCTAAACCTTTTCGTCTAGACGAAAAGGGTCGATGGGGTTGTAAAAAAACTCTAAACCTTCAGCGGGGTCAATGCAGCTCTAGCGGTTGGCAAGGTCCGAAAGTTGACGCTGGACCTCCTGGGGAACCGCATCGGTGACGAGGGCGTGGAGTCCATCTCAAAGGCTCCACCCTCTGATGTTGTTGACGGGGCTGAGGGTTTAAGGCTTGGAATTTAGGGTTCATTTAAGGTTTAGTTTTTTTTGGGTTCAGGCTTTGGAGTTTAGGGTTTAGGGTTGAGGGTTTATGGTCTAGGGTTTACAGTTAGGGTGCAGGGTGTAGCACCACCTTGTGTACCATACGTTCTAGGACTTACAGTAGCTTGCACTTGGTGGTAAAAGACCTGCTCCATCAGCAGGTGCTCTTGAAATGGGAGTTTTCCAAAATAGCTGCAGTACACCCCCCCACATATGTAAAATGTAGTACATACATCCCCAGGCCCCTAAGACAGCCCTATCCTTAGAAATTGCTACATGGGTTGGACTGCTGCGAGATTGTTGAATTACAGAAGGTTTCAGCCGTAAGGTCACGGGCTTGAAGCTTGCAGGACCTTGCTTGTAACCTTAAGCAGGGGTATATGGCCCCTAAATAGTTGGTATCTAGGATATCTGGAGGGTAGAACAAGGGGTGCAGGTAGAAACAGATGGTTTGCCCACAGGCCTGCCATTGGCGTAGGGGTTGAAATATGCGGCCAAGATCCATAGCCGTTGAGCATTGACAATAAGTCCTGGAGCCCACGTCCTACAGAGAAGGCAGCCCCCTACACCCAAAGCTAAGGCCCCAAAGCCCTGGAAGTAGGCAGATTTTCATTGAAGGGACCTGGGGCCATGAGTTTTGTTTACACGAAGCTACTGCAACTAAACCCTTTGAACCCTCAACCGCCATGCAATCCCTAGTATCCCCTTTTAGGATGCTACCTAAAGCCCCCTGAGTTGCCGCAAGGCATTGCCTAAGTCAGTGGAGCACCTCCACATCGTGCTAACGGAGAACGACCTGAGCAAGAGGCCTGGCAAACACAAGGGCTTGCAATCCCGAAATCATGCAACACACCCACCCAAAAAACTGAAGACTCTCCACTATGCAGCAGCCGCATAATGGTTTTGGCTGGGTTGGGATCATACAGGTACCTTGCTGGGGTAGCAGGGCTGGAGTACACATAGAGCAGAAACCCTACACTTTCCTGATTTTGAAACGCCCGAGCTCCACACGCTTTCCTCGAACCTATACCCTAGACTGACTGTCTAAAGATTTGTCTAAGCCCTCGACGCACGCAGACGCACACAGCGGAATGCTGATCCGTGTAAGTACTGTGATCCAGAAAAGCCTCTGCAACTGTTGACGGCAGCATCTGTACCAGGCCCCTTTAAACAGGTGTACATGGTCCCTAATAGTGGGTATCTAGGGTATCTCAATATAGAAGGTAGATGGAGGGTCTAGGTAGTAAGTTCAAGCGAAAGTGATGAAGCCAGGGGCTTCTTCATGATCGACCGGCAGATCGGTGACCCCCTGCACCAGAGACATCTGCCGAAGCTCCTGCAGCTCGTCTTGGGATCGAATTTTGCAGGTGGAGGTTTCTGCAGTAGGGACAACAAGAATCCAAACTCGATGAACTATCTCTTTATCCTTAAGCCCTAGTCTGCATGTGTGACCCTCAACCGTAATCCTGAACTTCGAATATTCTGCTTTGGATTCTTGCGCATAAAATACGTCCAGGTCAGTAACTTTGGCAACTCCTTGTTTGAAGACGCCGCGCTTGTTCCACAGCAAGCCAAGGGTAAGATATAGAGTTATGTAGGGATAATGGAAAATAAGTTGGAAACTGCTATGGCATCTAGACGCTCAATCCTCAATTACCTTAACCACAACCCCCTAAACCACCATCAAACTCTCTGAAAACTTGTTCGAAGCCTCCACACCCAGGCCGCAGAATTTCGCCAAGGGCGGAGAGCCCGAGTTCTCCGAGTTCCGGGAGGCGCCGGCCGCGACCTCACCAACCGGCTGGAGGGGGGTGGTCTAGGGTTTGGGGTCTTGTGAGTTCAGGGGTTATGGGTTTGGTTCAGGGAGTTTAGGGTTTTGCCGGGTTTAGGATATGGGGTTCGTGGCGCTGTAGCGTGGGCGCCTTCGTCTATGAATGTCCCCGCTCAGGATGAAGAGGCTCATTTTTTTTACAAGTCCCTCTTCTTCTTTCAATGAGATTCTTGAGCTCTCTGACCTTGAGCCGTCCCAACCCGCCTCCGAGTTCTCAGTTCTAAAGCCTTTGCCCAAGATGCCAGGGGTCGAAGCGACCCCCTTGGACCACAGAGGTCGGTGCTCAGCGTCTCATGAGCTGAAGTGCCATTGGCTGTGTGCCAAGGACGGGACGCAAGTGACGCAAATTGAGTGGCACCGAGCCATGTGAGCGGTTCCTCAGATTCTTCCAAGGCAGCCTGCCTAGGTTCAACAGTACCATTCGTCTATTTGAAGTAAATTGAATATTCTGATGGCTTACTTTTGTGTGTTTGTTTTAAGTGTAGGCGTCGGATCACAACTTTAGACCCGTGAAGCCTCAGATTTTCGGGCATCATTCCTTAGGGTGTAGGGCAGTTCCTTCTGCGTGCGCCAATCAGGTTTCGTTTTCGGTTGCTGGCATCCTCCATCCACCGGAGAAAAGGCTGCTGCTATGTTGCCTGTCAGGAAGCTCTCTCATCTTCAAACGTTGCATTGCGAAAGCTTCTGGGGCGATCTGAAACTGAAGAGCTGTTGTGATATTGCCTAGTCTTCGTAGATGGCGATAGCTATGCCAAGTTCACTACAGACACGTGTATGCTCTATAAGTAGGACTCAAGAAATGCTGGGAGGACTGGGTGCCCTAAGTTGCGAGCTGCTGGGAGAGTGCAGTCCTGAAACGGGGTATTAGCATTTCTCGAAAAGGCATTGCTCGTAACAGTTTGTATAGTGAAGGTAGAGGGCAAAATAAGATTGGTCAAGGTGGCTACTTGGTTTTACTGTGTAGCATAGTTCTATCTGTGATATGGCTTAACCACGGATAAACCTGATACATGCATGCTCGTATCCAGCATCAATGATCTGCTACAGCAGTGGCACCAACAGCCGCAATCACGGGATCCTCTGCCTTTGGTCGCCAAGCGTGAAACAATCAACGCTGAGCTTCCGGTCGCGTTGGATTTCGGAGGATACTGCTGTGCTTCTTGGACCGCAATGGGTCCTCGCAGGCAATCGTCCAAAGCCTCCGAAGGGTTGTTTCGGGTTCTTTTCATTTGATCTATAGTCTAAATTCCTTAAAGGGGGTTATATAGGGGATTCTATAGGAGACTACTATAGAGGTTACTAAAGGGGATACTAGGAGTTTAGACCCTAACCCCTATAATCCCCTACATAACCCTATATATATAGTAGTTTCCATTTCATTTTCCATTTTCTTTTCCATTTGATTCTCCATTATAATCCCAATATCTACCCTATAGACTATGGCTCATTTCATCCTGTATACAAGACGTCTTCGGTGGCATCGCGGAGCTTTGGACTTTGCATTTTGGACGCGCATCAAGATTTGGATTTTGGGGCCCCGCAAGATAGGCGGTTTAGGGTTTAGGGTTTAGGGTTTAGGGTTAGGGAGCCCCCAAGATGGGTAAAACAACCGGTAGCCGGCCAAGGCCTAGTGACAAAAAGCTTATGTTCCATACATTTTTTGGATTCAGGTGCTTTAATTACACGCTAAACTCTAAATCATGTAGTAGTAGCTTCCATCTTCAGCTGGGAGGTTATTGTAAAGCCTGACAACAGGGTCTGCTTCATTGAATCAAGGAAATCCCTATTTTGGATTAGAAGTACCTTCCGCTGTTTTCTTTAAGACGCTCCTTTAAAACATGCTGTATGTAAACAGTAACGAAGAATCCAGGACATGAAAAGAAAGTAAACCCCTTACAGGAAGGAAGTCCTGGACTCTAATTAGATTTCCTTTAGATTCGCTCATTTACAGTACCTTTACTTGCGTGCCTAGGGAAGAACACGCGAAAACGTTGCCAATAAAGGAGATCCGTCATTCCAGATAAATTCCGTTAGTCCGCTTTCTATCCGTTTGTTTATGAAGCATAAACGAGCTCTCTAATTCTTTCATTACGTCAGAACCCCCCCCTTAATTCAGATTGGACGCCTCCTAATTGGCCGCTTATGAGAGTAGCCTTACCCGTTTCAAAGTAGTCTTCCCGCATTTGAGCATTTTTCGCTGTTCGGGGTGCATATGATTAGTGGGAAGGGATTAGGGTGCTTATCTTCCTGGTACTTACTCGTTAATGCCGGAGGCGAGTGTAGTTCATGGTCCAGGGGCTTGCCTGCAGTATGCTGTTTCTTCAGGGTCCATGTGCTAAGTGATAGGTAAGCAAAATTGAGCAAGCCATCAAATGTTGCACAGACATTTCGGAGCTACGGCTAAGCCAGCCTCCAGACTCGACCCTAAAGCCTAAACCTGAAACCCTAAACCCGGAACCCTTAACCTTAACCCCTAAAACCCTAAACCCCTGAAACCCTAAACCCCTAAAACCCTACACTCCCAAAACCCTCAGCCCTAAACCCTAAAAACTAAAACCCTAAACCAGCAGGCTTGCGCCATCTCCTCCAAACCCTGAACGTTCTAGGGATGCCTGCATTTTTGGTTTGGCCAAAGATGTTTCCCCCCATGAGAGCTTGGCAAAACCCAAAGCATGGTCCTGCTCCTATCTAAGGCGTGTACTTATAAGCCCTACCTGGACCCTAAAAGTATGTAAAATAATGGCCTTATTGGCTATTCTTAGGGGTTTAGGGCTATTATTTTACATACTTTTGGGGTTTAGGTATAAATAAGACCCCCACTATGAGTAGACTTGGGTAGTAAGTACCAGCCACAATTTGGTCCATCCATCTGCTTGCCCGCGATTCTGGGGTTGCCAGCATGAAGCGGCTTGGATACCAGGATCCCATCTACCTAAACCCCAAAAGTATGTAGACTAATGGCCTTTTGGGCTATATTTAGGTCTTTCGGGCTATTATTTTAGCTACTTTTGGGGTTCAGGTAACTCTTCATACATTCAAACACGCCTTTATGGTGCAAAACCGAGAGTGGAAATAAAAGTCCGTCCGGCCAAAGCCTGCACCCAAGAAAAGTTAAGGCATTAGCATTGCAGTGTTCCTTGCAGCTAGCCAGTTTTCCTAGCCTGGATTCTCCTGTTTGGCGTGGTGCAAAAAATTCTGTGGGTTTGAAGGAACGACTTTTCGGATTCCCCTCCGGGCAAGGCCTGGCGAAGCTTTCAAACGCCAGGAGCCAAGGACCCTTGTGAAAGTATTGAAAGTAGACGTCATCGCGCGCAGATCCTTCCGTTTTGTACCAAGACATGTTCCTAATGAGGACCCAAAATACTTCACGGAGTGGGATATGCTGTCTTTTGGAGTGCAACTTGTCGTGAAGTGAAGGCCCATCTTGGTAACAAGTGCTCGGGCCTTTTGCAGGATTTTGAGCCGACTCATTTCTCGAAAGCAGCTACATGCAGATGCTTGCAGTTAGCAATACTTAGCATGTTGCAGGCGGTTTCCCGAAGTCTTTCGGATCCCTGCATGGACACCGAGCAGAGGCCAGTCCATCTCATGAAGGTTGACGAGCTGCGGGGGCCCCGGCTTATATGGGGGTTTCCTCAAATTAGGGGTACCGGTCCCCATAATAAGGATTATAATATATTGGGGTCTATATTGGGGTCCCCCTATTTGGGGAAACTACCATATCTGAGTGAAGCCGCTCAAGCCATGATGGCAATGCAAGGCTTGGACAATTCTGAGACTTGTAGTGATAGAAGTCCAGTTCCATGTTCTGAGCCTGACCAGGCCCCCTTCACTGGCCCAGCACACAGTTATCCACATGAGCTAGCGTTCAGGGGCGTTATGTAGGGGATTATAAAGGGGAGTATTATAGGGGTTACTAAGGAGGATACTAGGAGTTTAGACTATAGCTCACATACTCGGAGATTACTCCATGCTTGCTGGAGTGACCACTTGAGTGAGCTTGGAAAAGGCTAGGAGAGGGTGGAGTCATAGAGCCATCAATCGAGCGGATTTACAACAGACTTGAAGGCACGTCTTCACTTGTGAAGTTGCAGTTCATCACACCAGAACTTGTTTCAAGCAGAGGTCCTGTCAAGCACGATATTTCCGGGCTTCAAGCAGCCGATCAAGTATAGCTGCCCCGCTTTCTCCTTTCTGACGATCCTAGCGTCAAATCGCGATATTGAACATGCAAAATGCAAAGCATGTTCGAAGAAGACTTGCAGAGAGCTGTAGACTTGCAGTCCCAGAAGCAGAACTCTGACTTGTACTCGTAAATATGCCATTCCCAGCCCGCAATCTTGTTGAAGCCCATGATTTCATGAATTGGATTCAGCTGACTACAGAGTAAAGCACATATTTGAGGCGTTGGCATTGTGATACCACTCCACAGAGAGAGATTCAGAAGGTCTGAAGATGATCACCCGAAGATTATGCAGCCACCGCACTGAGCGCCTTGCGCCATCCCCAAGGTGTTTGCCAGGCTTTCTGACCAAGTGTGCAGCGCTCAGCAGACTGTCCGCCTGCAAGAATCGGTCTTGCCTGAATAGCATGTGTGTATCTGTGCAATTTTTGCGGCTGCAGCGCAAGGAGGCTTAGGTGAGAATCGGAGAGAGGCTTCGCGCATCCTCCACCGGAAGCCGGCTCCATGGCGCAGGGTGGACAAGTCCGTTTGCCTGATCTGAGGGAGGTCCCGGCTGCCTGGCCCTTGCAGACCGTGCTCGATGCCTGGGTCCACTTGAATGCGCATTGGGGTGAATCCGGTACCCAGACAGCCAATGCGGCGCTGGAGCCGCGCCTGGAGGAGCTCTGGGCCGCTGAGCCCGAAGCGGCGGCGCGTTGCCTCAAGCTCGAGCCGTCCGAGGGACCGCGGGCCGAGGCGCTGAGCCGCTACGGCCGGGCCGAGCGGGAGCGATGCCATGTGCGATGCTTCACGGCCCAAGGCCTGGTGCGACAGGAGAGGAGCCCTGGGGTTCAGTCATACTTCGACGTTCGCTGCCGGGAGTTGGCCCGGCGCCTGGCGGCGGCCGAGGCCAAGGCTGGGGAGGCGAAGCGGCGGCGCCTCGAGGAGAGCGCGAGCTCCGCTTCGAGGGAGCTCCAGGCGGCCAAGGAGGAGACCGCAAGGAACCAGCTGCGTTGCGAGGAGCTGACTTCTCGTGTGGCCGAGCTCGAGGCCGCTGCCTCAGAGAAGTCCATGGAGCTCCAGGCGGTGCACGAGGAGCGCGCTCGGCTCGCAGATCGCCTTGGAGAGGCAGAAGCGGAGGTCCGGGCTGCGCAGGACGAAGCGGCCAAGCACAAGGACCAGCACCGGCAACTGGAAGCTCGAGTCCTCGCACTGGAGGCTGAGAAGGCAGCTCAGCTCCAAGCCTCCGAGGAGCAGCGAAGGCAGCTCGCGGAGCGTTTGGCGGCGGCAGAGGCTCTGGTGTTGGCAAAGACAGCAGAGCTTGACATGGCAAAGGTCGAGATATCAAAGCAAGCAGTGCAGATTGATCAGCTCGTGCAACAGGTGTCGGGGGCCCAGAGACTTGCAGCCGAAAGTCAGGGGGAGCTCCGCAAGACTCAGGAGGAGCTTCCAAGAGCGTTGGCTAAAGATGAGGCCGGAAAGAGGGTGGACCTGCAGACCTTTCTCATCGATAAGATCCAGGCCCTCTCAGAAGAGAAGGGAAAGTACAAGGAACGCTGCGATCAGTTGCAGCTGCAGCTTACTGAGGCCAAGAAGCCGACTGGGCCCCGCGCCCATCTGAGCGATGAGCGCAGCTCTCTGTGCAGTGAGGAGTCCTGGGTGCATCTGAGCGAAGCGGGCTCAGGGGCGCTGACAGAGAGCTGCACATCTGGCATCTCCGTTGACACGGCGGGGCCGCACTGCTTCATGGTCGATGCGACCTTCAAAGCAGAGGGCGGCATCCTGGTTCCCGCCAAGGACCTCAGTCAAGGTTCGAGGATCCTGGCCGCTGATGGCACGGTGGTGGAGGTCGCCGCACCTCCAGAGCAGCACCAGGCTATGAGACATAGATTCGATCACGTAGACCTCATAGTACACATCAGAGATCAACACATCCACCCGCACAATCCGGCACGGTATCCTTCTATATGTTCTAATATTACCCTGAACGATGCATCCATAGCCTGCGCCCACCTGTGATTTGCTTGCGCACAGGCCAACAAAACCGTGCTGCTGCAAGCCGGGGCCGCCACGTTGCAGGTCACGCTGGACCACCGCGTGGTGCTCCCGAATGGCAGCACTGCGCCTGAGCCTGCAGTGGGGTAAGGCTTTAGGAAAAGAAAGCATACATAATGGAGAATGAGAAGGATGATAACAGGACAATCAAATCGAAACTACTTAGCTACTAATTGATTATAGGGGGTTTTGTGGCACTCTTTACTCAAGTGAACATGTTTGGCTCAGGTCGAAGCACGCCGGCTTCGGGTGGGGCAGGAGGTCCTTGTCCAGGGCATCCCCACGGAACTCACGAGCGTGGACGTGCTTCTGGGGCCTGTGGCCGTCTGGGCTGTTGCCTTCCTCCCTGACCGCCCCGTGGAAGCTAGGCTTAAATAATCTTAAAAAACACTAGCCTTGCAAAATCTCGTGTTCCTCTTCAGCTGGAAACTCTTTTTAAAGCGTGTTCGTAAGCAACGCCTTAATAGATTTTGTTTACATGTTTGATGCTGGGTTCTGCTTGAGCTGGCAAGCTCATGGAATGGGAGTCTGGTTAGTTTGGCCCGGCACAGCATTGTGCTAGACATGTCTGATTCTACAGCTGGATTCTCAATTGCAAGCTTGCCAGCATCATTCTAATCTGAAAGTTCAGCTAACGTGTTTGAAGCTGAATTCCGCTCCAGTCGACAAGCTCATTGAGGGGGAGTCTAGTTGTTCTAGCGTTGGTTTGGTAGCTCTATAGCCTTGCTTTAGTTTTGTGGTTCTAGTGACGTCTAGTGATTCCCAAAGGAAATCTTCAAGTCATCCATCCAGAGCCACGGGCACCGGCTGAAGAAGGCCAGCCGCGGGAACCGCCGCGCCCGCAGCGCCGAAACGCGCTCGCTCCCGGCCACGGAGGCTGACTACATGGACTGATGCCTGGTAAAGCACACTGTGAAGGGGACAAGCTACTGCCATGTCAAAGAATCTGGGTGTGCATTGTCCGCAGGTATGTGCAGATGGGTGGTTCCTACACATGACTATAGCTTCCCCCAGCGCATTGACAGCTACCAGGTTTTGCAGCAACGTGAATTCGGAGCAGCGGTCTGTGCTTGCTGAGCGGTAGGCAGCGTGTGCCACCAACCTCTCAGGGCATGCATCTGAAGAGATGAGGATGGAAAGATATATAGAGGTTCATACTTCGCACACCTTGATCTGGTGCCCATCTCTGAATGCGACCTGTTTGGGGGAGCGTGGCGTGCCAGTCAAAAGTCACTTGTGCCGAAGCACCTGCTCGCCGCATTTTTGTCCGCGCGTGCTGTGCGTTCAACTCATCACCATCCTCACGTCGGTATAAGCAGCATCCCCGTTGAAAGGTAAGTGACATGCATGGACCCAGGCATCCTACCTGGCGAGGGTTTTCCTGTGCTATGAACGCTACTATCCGCGTGTTGCAAGTGATGAGGCTGCATCTGCCTTCACCCTAATCCACGGACCGCCAAAAGCTCCCGTGCAAGCCATAGCTTTTTTGTACGAGACCTGCTTCAACCTGCCTTTTACCATGAAACCTTCCCGACATGTATTGTATAAAGAAAGCGGAGGTGAGGCGCAGAGGCCTTCCCCTTCCCTTTTCATTTGGTGCTACCGTCTACGACACCAACATTCAGCCCCAACTTGAGCTGCTCGTCCTTTGTTTTTAGGGCCTCTGCCTTCCGTGGCTCAGAAATCTTCAGCAGGCAGGGCTCGATGCAGCCGAAGCCCGAGAACTCCAAATGCCCCAAATTCAGTTCACCGAGCGGCGGCGGCAAAAAAACTTGGCATTTGACGCCCATGACTGTGATAGGGAAGCACTTCGCCTGCACTGCAAGGTTTGCTGCCGAAGCTGCAGTTTTGCTTAGAAAGGTGCACGACTCCCCAAAAGCATTCACATGTTTCTCCATGGCCTGACAAAGCTTCTCCTCTTCTCTCGGCCCAGGTGCAAGTCACTTCTCGAGCTGGGCCTGACCAGCGAGAAGGCCCATTGTGGGCACCTCAAAGGTCCTCCTATGTCTATATGTCCCTGTAGATATGGGGTTGGGGGTTTTGAGGGCTCAGGGACGCAGACTTTGAGAAGTCCTGGCTTACTCACGAGAAGTGATGGAGGTCATGCCCACGGGAAAGTGTGGGCTGAAGACGTGTCTCTTCTAGGGTTACGCTCGAGACTTGTTCTGACATGTAGCCAGACTATCCAAACTGTGCACAGTATCCGATGTCCGGAGGCATCTTGGAGTCTGCTTAAGCCCACCTCTTTGGCCTATTCCGCTTCCCAGGACTGCGGTTTCTTTGCAGCTTTTTCCTGTCAAAGCAGGTGGGTCTCGAAGAGGGCGGCATCTATCAAAATTCCATAATATGAGTACAAGAATTCAAATACCATGGAACCTTATGAAACAATGATACGCTGGATACCAAAAATCCCGCATGATCGTAGGTACCTTATATCTCGGGAATTATGGTCCTATAGTATACTAGGGTCATGCAGGATTTTCAGTATCGACAGCAGGACACCCCAAGTCCTGAACTTTTTCTGTTCGCCAGTTCAAATGTCATCCCAAAAATCCCCGGCGGCGTGCACGTTGGGTTGGCCTTCTCAGCCTTTTGAGCTTGGCCTCAGGGCAAGCCAAAAAGGGGTTTAGGGTGTAAGGTTTGTAGGATTAAAGGTCTAGGGTTTACGGGGTTTAGGGTGAAGAGTTTAGGACTTAGGGTTGAAGTATGGGTCAGTGGGACCTTGCTGCCAAAATCTCTCTCATTGTCAACTACAATCCCCAAGTTGAGGCTAATGATTGGGACATCTGCTCAAAAACTGTCCTCGGTCGACCCTCTTTTTTCTTGCAAGCGCCGTGCCATGAAGGTCCTGTGTGACTGCCACTTCCACCCCTTGAGGTCCGCATCCCAGTTGTGGAGTTCTGGGGTCCAGCATCAGCTAAAGGAGTACCTTAGGAAGAAGTAGTACATATTTATTATCCGGGTATAACATGCTAGGATTTAGGGTTACAGTCGCCTTGTAGTATACAGGATCTCGATTCGCACAAGAGTTTTGGAGCAATTTTGGTGTTTATTTCTCTTTCGCAACGACGGATTTCGGGCTCTTGGCCTGAGATGGCTAAGTTGCTGAAGGCCAAAACTGCAAGTTTCACAGAATGGGGGCCTCCTTTGCTTCAGCCAGCCGATTCCATCCCACGGTTTAGGGGTTTTAGGATCTAGAGGGTTTAGAGTTTAGGGTTAGGATTTAGGGTTTAGGGTTTAGGGTTTAGGGTCTATAGGGTTTGGGTGCTCTTGTAAGCTCAAAGAAGCGTTGCACGCTGCATTTTGGGTGTAGACTTTATCAGATGTTCCCCTTGTTTGAAGTACACGTTGCAAAGGCTTACGCGAAGAATCTTGAATCCTTTTGCTCTGATCCAGCTCCCGCCCAGTACTGTAGGTCTTCGGGGTTCTTGAGCCATGCTCGGAGGATGAGGACTTCAGAGTTTACAGAGTTTGGGGGCTCTGGCGTCTTGTACGGATTTCGGGGTCTGGGTTTGGGGTTTAGGGCTTGGGTCCTGGAGCCCATCCCCCCCCAAGTCGGAGCCGTAGTAGCCTTTCTTCCTAAGACCCCATGGCAGTTATTTTGGACAACTGCGCGAGGTACACTATGGCCTCACGACATAGGGTAAGCAGGGTTTAGCTTTTGTCTCCGTCATCTCCGTGGTAGGGTTTGTACGAGGGTTTTCATCGTCATTACCTGAACCCAAGAGTACATAAAATAATAGCCCAAAATACCTAAATTCAGACCATTTTGGGGGGGGCTTAGGTAGAAACCACAAAGATGGCTTCAAGCTCCAAGGCCCTCAGGGCAGCAGGCTTCAGACCGAGCAACCTTCTCCCCCGATGTCGCAGCTGTCCGAGAGACTTTACACGTATTGGGGGACATCTTTAATGTTGCGTTGAAAGCATTTACCCTAAGGGTGCAAGTACCTAATAATCATATATATACTTACCCAAAACCTGTACTATAATTACTATTACCCAAATCCCAAGTACTTAATTATTGGGTACATGGACCCTCTGGGTTAGGGGGAAGGGATCATTCAACCACGCCATCCATACACCGGCTTCCATCAGCCCGGGAGGGCTCCAAACTCAAAATCGCTCCACCGAAGCCACCAAATCCTAAGACTCAGACTCCCATAAACTTCAACAGGGGTACCTTCCAAGTCAAAGTCCCTGGCTATAGCTACACTGACATCCCTTGCTTCTTCTCATGTACCCGCCCCTTAGTGGGGTTAACTACGAAGATAGCAGTCTCATTCCCAATAATTGATCCCATGACCCATTTCCCAATTTCATATATACTTTGCACTACGGAGTCCGAGGCGTTCCTCACTTTATTCAGCAAGCCGCCCTGCAGTAGCCCAAGATGCCGGAGCTGCGGGCGTGAGGTGGAAGGGTTTATAGGGTTTAGGGTTGAAAGGGTTTACTTTGAAGGTTCATATGCATATACACAGGGTTTACGCTGCAGGGTTCACTTAAGGCTTAGGGCGGACGGTTTCGGGCTTTCGGGGGGTTTAAGGTTTGCGAGGTTTAAAATTGAGGGTTAGGAGGTTAAGTGTATAGGTTTGAGTTAGGGTTTAAAGGACTCATAGGGCTAAGGGCTTAGGGCTAAGGAGTGGCCCCAGCAACAAGACTAAGATAGCCCACGGCTGTTTGATTCGTGGATTTGTTTCACGGTTTTGCAGCGCTGGGAATCGCTTCAGGTATTTTTCAGGAGGTATTCTCAGAAGACATGCCTGAACCCCAAAAGTAGGTAGAATAATGGCATTTTGGGGCTATACTTAGGTGTTTTGGGCCATTATTTCACTTACTTTTGGGTTTCAGGGAATCCAAGACAGGTTTGTTGTCCAGTTGGACTCCCTTGTCTTTCTTGGTGCCATTCAGGCAATAGCCAACAACCCAAACCTAAACCCTTACCTGGAGAGGCTTGCTTCGGGTCGATAGGAGCCTGGATGCAGGACGTCTGCGATGTCCTCGAAGAGTTTTGGACTGTGCAGATTTTGTTTGCGGATCAAGTTGGACCCGGGCTTGCCTGAGCCCCCGAAAGTAGGTAAAGCACTGGTCCAAGCCCAGTAAGTAAAAGAGCCAAGGAGGCCATGTTTATACGTACCTTTGGGCTTGAGGTACCCTACACCCTAGAAACCCCAAATGATGTAGTAGCTCCCATGTGTTGCTTGCTTGGGGTTCAGGTAGGAGTGAGGCATGAGGCACCAGAGCTCAGAGTTCCTTCAACAACAGCGATGACGTTGCAGGTGCGGATCCTCCCAGATAGACATTGCAAATGTAGGCAAAATATAGAAAAAGAAAGATGCTGCGCACTTCCCTTTCATAAAACCTTGTGAACCAAATAGAAAATACAGGAAGTCCACGGAAATCCTTTATTCTGATCGGATTCTCTTTAGCTGCCTTGATATAGATTCCCAGGTAAGCGGCTTTTGAAAACAATAAGGGAACAAAGGCAAAGGAGATCCACAATTCCGAATGGGCTTCTGTAAGATTATTTGATGCAAGTTTGTTTATGAATAACCTACGAGCAATAAGAACAACGAGGAAATATAGGATATTCCCATAATTCCTTAGTAAATGATTGCACCCCAAATTTGTGATTAGTAGCTTCCTATGACCCGTTCAAAAAGTTCTTTTCTCTTTCGCAAGTAATCTTCTAGGCGTTTCAGGCCTCCGTTCCTTGTATTTTGTTAGGGGCTATGCGGTCGGCAAGCAAGCCTACTGAGAATGTGATACATCGCGAACCTCCTTTGGCACAAACTATTCCTCTATGAGAGCTCACGAAACCAAAGCCAGACATGCAGGGGCTGTCGCAGTGGGCGAGGGGCCGGCCTCACAATCTATATCTACATCCTCCTAGCCTTATTATCCTTATTTGTGCAATCCTCTGCCAAAAAGGCCCCAAAGGTTTGTTGATCCTCCCAACCCTCAACCCCATCGGCCTTCATCCGAGGCGTGGCGACATCAACACTCCACCCTGAGGCATCAGGCCCATGCCTCGAGTCCCAGAGGGGGGGTCATGGGATTTGCATGATTTCCGGATTTAGGGGGTCTTGGGAGGGAAGCCAGGAAGGAATTTTCGAACTTGTGAAAATCTATGAGCTGATCCCTTCGGGATGCACTGCATGAAGCGGCTTGGACACTGATGGTTCATACTTTCAAAGACGGCTTTACGGTGCAAAGCTGAGAGTCGAAATAAATCATGCCTGGGTGGACTGGAAATCCGACTGAAGCCTCTGCCCACCCGAACTCACTGCAGCAGAAGTGCAATGTTGCCTGTCTTCTGCCCAACTTTCATAGCCCAAATTCTCCTGTTTGGAGTCCCACGAGAAATTCTTTCGGTCACTTATGGGATTTACGCTGGTGTCTGGTCTTGCGGAGTGCAACTTGTAGTGAAGAGCCCTTGCATTTTGGGTATTTTCAGTGGACCTATTTCGAGAAACAGCAGCAGATGTTTGAGCTGGGCATGTTGCATGCGGTTCCCAGTCTCCTGGATTACAACCTGGATGCTGAGGCAAGGCCAGTTCAGTTTCATGAAGACTGACAAGCTGCAGGGGCCCCGGGGATAATGGAAAAGGAAATGGAAACTACTATAATGGAGAATCAAATGGAAAAGAAAATGGAAAATGAAATGGAAACTGGTATGATTCGGCCTATCTGCAAAGTTGGGAGTATAGTGACGGTGATTCAGGGACAGTTCCACGAGGTAAGCTTGAACCATTCAAATCCCAAAAGACCAACCAAACCAGTGTAGCCCGACGCTCACCAGTTCCAGTGCCCTTTGAAGCCTGTACAATCACCAACATGCTAGGAATATGGTCGGAGGCATGCTTGATTGACCAATTGAGTGGGCTTGGAAAAGGCTAGGAGAGGGTAGACTCGCAGATTCACCACATGAGCGCGTTTGCAACAGACTGGAAGGGAACCTTTAGTCGTTCAACGACAGTTTGTCACGTTTTCAGTTGTGAGTTTGTAAGTTATTATATGACAAGTTTTCTCAAGCAGAGGTCGTATCAAATATGATAGTTCCAGGCTACAAGCAGCCGATGAAGTATAGTTAGCCAGCACTGTGAACATGCCAGCTGGAGATTTTGGCCTGTGGCGCCAAGCCCATAATGCGAGCCGCAATTGGATTGAAGTCTCGGCATTGGATTCCAATGCCGCTCCAGAGCAAAGGGATATTTGGGAATATTTGAGGCGTTTGGATTGTGACTCCGCTCCGCAGCGAGAAACTTAGAAGGTCTGAAGATGTTCACCTGAAGCTTATACAGTCATCCTGAGCGACCCTGAACCCCTGCGTAAATAGCAACTTGTGGACAAAAAAGCGAAAGTCCCAAAATGCTTGACCTCCCAATCTGAACTCATGAAAGTCAGGCCTCTTTTGCCCGCTGCTCCTGCGCCATCCCTAAGGTGTTTGCCGGGCATGTTGGCCAAGTGTGCAGCGCTCAGCAGACTGTCCGCCTGCAAGAATCGGTCTTGCCTGAAAGCATGTGTGCATCTGTGCAATTCTTGCGGCTGCAGCGCAAGGAGGCTCAGGTGAGAATCGGAGAGAGAGGCTCCGCGCATCCTCCACAGGAAGCCGGCTCCATGGCCCAGGGTGGACCAGTCGATCTGCGTTATCTGAAGCAAGTCCCTGCTGCCCCCTTGCAGACCGTGCTCGACGCTTGGGTCCACCTGAATGCGACTTGGGGTCCATCCGATACCCAAACGGCCAATGCGGCGCTGGAGTCGCGCCTGGAGGAGCTCTGGGCCTCGCAGCCCGAAGCGGCGGCGCGGTGCCTGGAACTCGAGCCATCCGAGGGATCCCGGGAGGCGAAGCTGGCCGAGGCGCTGAGCCGCTACGCCCGGGTCCTTCACGGCCCAAATTTTGGTGCGGCTGCGAGTGGAGGGAGCTGGGGGATTCCGCCACGGTTCGACGCTCGCTGCGAGGGGCTGGCCGGGCGCCTCATTACGGCCGAGGCCAAGGCCGGGGAGGCGAAGCGGCGGCGCCTCGAGGAGAGCGCGAGCTCCGCTTCGAGGGAACTTCAGGCGGCCAAGGAGGAGATCGCAGGGCACCAGCAACGTGAGGAGGAGCTTACGGTGCGCGTGGCCGAGCTCGAGGCCGCTGCCTCAGAGAAATCCGTGGAGCTCCAGGCGGTGCACGAGGAGCGCGCTCGGCTCGCAGATCGCCTTGGGGAGGCAGAATCGGAGGTCCAGGCTGCGCAGGACGAAGCGGTCAAGCACAAGGAGCAGCAGCAGCAACTGGAAGCTCGAGTGCTCGCACTGGAGGCCGAGAAGGCGGCTCAGCTCCAAGCCTCCAAGGAGGAGCGCAGGCAGCTCGCAGAGCGTTTCGCTGCAGCAGAGGCTGAGATCTGTCAGCAGACGGTTAAAAGCGAGCAGCTCGTGCGTAAGGTTGCCACGTCAGAGGCAGTTGCAACGGAGAGTCAAGCAGAGCTGCGAAAGGTGCACGAGCTCCTCTCGAGACTCCAGGCTGAGGGTTGCCACAGAAGCTCTGCAGAAGATCAGGCGGGAAGGAACGTCAACGTGCAATCCATGCTTCTCGAAAACGCCGTCTACAAGGATCGCTGTGAACAACTCAAGGTGGAAACCAGTGCAAAGATGGACAGGATCCAGATTCTTTCAGAAGATTTGGGCAGGTACAAGGAGCGCTGCGATCAGCTGCAGCAGCAGCTGACCGAGGCCAAGAAGCCAGCTGGGTGCTTGAGCGTGAGCGGACGGCCCCTGGTGCATCCAAGCCATGAGCGCAGCTCTCCCTGCAGTGAGGAGTCGTGGGTGCATTTGAGTGATGCGGGCTGCTTCATGGCCGACGCAAGCTTCAAAGACGAGAACGGCGTCCTGATCCCCATCAAGGACCTCCGTGAAGGCTCGAGGATCATGGCTGCTGATGGTACGGTGGTGGCAATCGCCACACCTCCGGAGCAGCAGCAGGCTATGGGACACACAAAATATAGAATTCATAGTATACATGCACCAGAGATCAAATCGCATAAATCCACCCGTAACATCCTGCATATTTCGCTATTTCTCCACGAAAGAATCATCCCTAACCTATGCCTTGCGATGATCCTGAGCACAGGCCAGCAAGACCGTGCTGCTGCAAGCCGGCACCGCCACGCTGCAGGTCACGCTGGACCACCGCGTGGCCCTCCCGGATGGCAGCGCCGTGCCTCGGTCCGAAAATCGTAGATGGGCTTTTTGGACATAGCATGATGGGGAGGTATATGGAAAATGAAATGGAAAATATGGAAGCTACCACATGATTTGTCGGGGTTAGCCTTCTGGCCATGTACTCTTGATGGCTCATGGTAGTCGAACTCCTTACTCACACGTTGTCAGCCGTTGGGCTCAGGTGGAAGCACGCCGGTTCCGCGTGGGCCAGGAGGTCCTGGTCCAGGGCGTCCCCACGGAGCTGACGAGCGTGGATGTGCTCGAGGGGCCCGTGGAGGTGTGGGCCATCTCCTTCAAGCCCGACCTGCCCGTCGAAGCTGGGGCTACAAGACAGTTGTCTTTTCGTAGCTGATTTTCTTGCTTACTTGAAGCTCTTTTTTGCCAATTTCAGAAAGCTGTCATATGGACTTGCCCACTTGCCCGTTTGCTGTTCGGAGGAAGTCTACAAGGCGTCCATCCAGAGCCATGGGCACCGGCTGAAGCCGGCCCGCCGCGCGAACCGCCGTGCCCGCAGCGAGGACGCGCGCTCGATCCCTGCCACCGAGTGCGAGTACCAGTAGTGATGCCGGTATACGTCATAGACCCGTGAGCCGGAGCCTTTCAATCAAGTTTTGATCATGGTTGAACCAATGACGCTACTTAGGTGGTGCTTCACAGACCTATAGGTTTAAGTGTGAAGGCCATGGGATATGCTGGAAGTTAGAAGGCTCGCCTCCAACATCAATTGGAGCCAGCAGTCTGTGCAAGCTAAGCGGCAAGCAGCGTGTGCCACCAACTTGGCCCTGGTAGTCCCATAACAAGCTTGGCCCACCCTTTCTTTTGATATAGCCATCATGCAGGCGATCTTGAGTGCATTTGCCAGGTTCGCGGCGTGCACAGTCAGAAGACACTTGTGCCGAAGCACCTGCTCGCCGCAGTTTTGTCCACACAGTGCTGTGCGCGCAACTCATCACCATCCCGACACTCCCGTACTAGTAAGTTCCACAGACATGAAGGTATAATATATGGCCCACAACCCTGATGTAACTGCATTTTCCGCGGTCGCAAGTGATGAGGCTGCAGCTGCCTTCACTAGTAATCCACAGACCGCCGCGCTCCCTTGCAAGCGCTTTTGAGTTCAAGACCTGCCGAAGTAGCATGCGGAGCCTCCATAGGAAGTGTGAAAAGACTTTTGGGATGGGGTAGGAAGGCCCACTTCCTAGACCCTCCATCTACCCTCCATATATTCAAAATAGGGGCCATCTACCCCTATTTTAAGGATACCCCTATTTAAAGGGTACAAGGAGGGTCCTGGTTCTGAGGCCTGCTTATCCAGTAGGATGCCTTGTTCTTGTTATTGTCCTTGGGGCCTCCGCCTTCGGCGCCTCAAGAGGCCTTCTCTTGATGAGGAGGCTTGATGCAGCGAAGCTTTCATGCATCCAAAGCCCTGAATTCTGAGCAGGCAGGCTGCAAAAAGACGGCAACCTGCACCGTTACCAGCCTGCAAGCATGCAACCAATGCTGCTAGACTTGCGCATAGGCTGGTGCCTTTCCTTGTCACATGCAACTGTCCACAAGCTCGACCCTTTCCCAGGTGAAAGTCTCTGCCGGAGGGAGCGAGAAGGCCCACTGCGGTGTCTTCAGAAAGACCCAGTTTTTTTTTCATTCATAGGCTTTGATTATAGCTTCTGTGGGCCTTCTTGTTGGGAGGGTTGGCGATTGCCTCTGCATCTGCCGGTGAGGCTTGAAAACCCCGACATGGCCGCATGGGAGCGGGGCAGCGTTTGTATCACTCCTTCGGCATCCAACCCTCTTTGTTGGGTCACGCCAGAAATTTTGCTTCATCCGCGGCTGCCTGAAAGCCGCGGAGATCCGCGAAACGATTTGTTTGATAGAGTTCTGCGAAGACGACCTGGGTTTGCCACTACTATCTGCTCAACGAACAATCCTGGGTTCTATGCACTTGCCTTCGCTCTGTTAACCCTACGGCCACCAATCTTTTGAGAAGAATCAAATGGATATAGCCCCAACAGAATCCCACAAACAACCCCACAAAATGAATACCCTAAGCGGATAGTATCCCAAGAGTTGTTAGATAACCCCAATAGGCCAATATAGTTCCCAAACCAACCCAGACAGCAATGCCCGGAAGGCCGCCCACAACATCCCACTTCGAGGTCGACTCCTACTGAGTTCAAGGGTATATCCTTCGAGTCTTATATTGGGATTATGTTGGGGTTATATTACCCTAGAAGCCCAGGTACCCATATAGTAGGTCCTTGGGTTACAGATAGTATAGAATTATATAAGGACTCAAGGACAGGAACCCAATATATAGGTAATTGGGAAGGTTATATTGATGTAAATTATCAAGGGATGCTATCCCATCAGTCTGAACCGCTAACCCCTCGCAGCAGTATCAAAGAAAGCTGCAGGGAGGATGATGTACCAGGACCTTCTTTGTACCCTTAATTGGGGATATATGGTCCCTAATAGTGGGTACTTAGGCCCTAATAGAGGGTAGGAGGAGGGTCTAGGTAGAAATTGTACCGACAGTTGTTTTGGTCGGCTTCCTCTGCATGTAGTCTATACGAACTGGAGTCCTCCGCACCTCATGCAGGTTTGCAGCACAAGTATTATGCCCAAAATTGCCGTTCAAATTGCCTATCATAGTTTTCATGTGAAGACAATGTAGCCTGTACCGCAGCGACATACATACCCTAAATCTTGAACAATCCCATGTATCCATCGGATCCCCAAGAGCCACCTACAATCGCTTTGAAGATTTACGGGGATGACGATGGTGCCTTTCTCGGCTGGGTTGCTTCCAACCTTGGAAGGTGAACACCCGCGGTGGATACTAAAAATCCTGCACAACTCTAAATGGTTAGACCCGTGGATTTATAATACTGTGGTATAGACGAAGGTCATGCAGGATGTTGAGTATCAACAGCAGGTGCCCTCTGAGGAAGTCAGTGCTGCGTCTGAAGATACTCCGTCGCAGAGCTCAGGCCTCTGTCATGAACGTAATAGGCGAATCCTAAACGGAGAACCCTAAACCACAAATCCTAAACCCTAAAGCTCAAACCTTGAATCCTAAATCCTCAACTGCGTACAAACTTTTCTGGGGGTTCCAAAACTACCTCCACAAAACCTCCACACAATCTTCACATGGAGTTTTGAGCACAGGGATCCCGAGCCAACTCCACAAGTCCTAAATCCCAATCCTAACCTCCTCCCACATATAGTCCCCCTTAAGTAGATAGAATATGGGGTATATGGGGATCTTATTATAATATACTCAACAACCATATTCCATCTACTTAAGGGGGACTATAAGCCCTGGAACCTCCCCAAAAATCCTAACTCCCAATCCTAATCCTCCGCCCTCGACTGGGAGGCCTCCCTGCAAAGAGGGGGATGCCTCCCTACGAGCCTGCTCGGGAGCCTAAGCAGCCAGAGCCAGGGCAGGTTTAAACCAAGACCCTCCCATAGTACCCTTAATTGGTGGAGATATGAGCTACTGTCAATAAGCGTCTTACCCAGAAACCATGAAGGGGGGACATAGGGATCCCTCGGGTAGTTTGGTATAGTCGCTCATGTAGTACGGAACCCGCACTTATGTCCTTATGACTATAGCTCATAAGGCTTCTAAAGGTGGGTACTCATAGGCCTTAATACACGGTAGCTGGAGGGCCTAGCACGATGTATGTGTCATGTTGGGTGGTTAGTATGCAATGTCTTTACTTTTTGTAGCGGGAGGAGCTTCTTACGTTCTTACACAGGGGACGGGGCCCAGCCCAGTAGACAGAGGTCGCGCGCCATGCGGATTCCTGAGCTGTTAGCTGTTAGCTGGGACCATCTTCATCTGACAAAGCCCGGAACTGGCCAAACCCTCAATGACTCAACTAAACCCTAAACCCTAAATCCTCGACTTTTGGGAAGTCCTGGCTCTAGCATCAAAAGGCAAGGCAGGATGCTTCCCGGGAGGTCATGAAGCCCCAAAGACTGAGTTGCTGTTAAAGAAGTTTTGTTAACTTACTGTGATAAGTAGAAGGAAACCCCATGATTTACTCTCTACCCATAATATGGTAACTTAAATCCTTTCACCCTAAGCCTTAAGCCCTATATACTCTACACCCATATGGCAGCTTAAATCCCTAAACCCTAAGCTCTAAACCCTAAATCCCTAAACCCTATTTTACCCATAGTATGGTGTCTTAAGTTACGTTCCTCGACAGAAACCCAGAAGACAACGGCTCGAGGTCTGATGTACTGCTCAGCCCTCAAAGGGGTTTAGTAGGGATTTAGGGTTTAGGGTTTAGGGATTTAGGGATTTAGGGTTTAGGGATTTAGGGTCTAGGGTTTAGGGGCTTAGGCTCTAGGGATTTAGGGTTTAGGGACTTAGGGTTTAGGGTTTAGGTTTTAAACCCTGAGCTTTAGACCCTCAGCCGCTCAGCCCTCTAAAGAGAGAGCCCACTTCATAAGCCATCCCACTGTTTCAGGGTTCAGGGTGTACGGCTATTGGGATAAAGCCATCCAACCTCTCCTGATTATGTTTTCTGGTCTGTTGTTAAGGAAAAAATTCTAGATTGCTTGAAAGAGGAAACCCCACGATCTACACAATACACCCATATTCTGGTAAGTTGATATTGAAGTTCCGTAACAGCAAGCCAGTACTGTATGGTGCCATTCTCACAGGACAGACGGGTTTTGTTGAAGTTTTGATCTCGATTCTCCCGGGCCCCCAGTCATGGCTGTTTTGCTAACCTCGTGACCTCTGCAAAAACCCTGAAGATGAGGTGCTAAATTGTAGGTTTAGGGTTTAAGGTTCAAGGTTTAGGGTTTAGGTAGATAGGAATCCCTACATCAGAGGTCTGGAGAAGAGATGCTGCCTGAAGCCTGAAGTCCTACATATCTGTACGTGAAGTCCTTCGACCCTGAGCCTGAAATGGACCCACAGCCCGAGGTCGGCGAGCTCAGGGCAAAACGTAGAGGAGGCCTCTGATGATTTGAGCCAGCTCTGATGTTTCAAGAACTTGGGATTCGAATACCTGAGCCCCAAAAGTAGGTAAAACAATGGCCCACGACACCATTATTTCTACATACTTGTTGGGGTTCAGGTAGTTCTGGCACTTTAGGGCTCATGCCCTTAGCCCTGAAGCTATATATATATGTATATATATATATGTATGTATGTATATATATAAGTGCAGGATCTTATTGCTTAAGTTCTCTGGTGTGGGGTCTTGTCATAAAGGGGGCTGTGTTTACTAAAGTGCCTGTTTCTCCAGCAGAGGGCAAATGAAGCCCACACTTTGTGACCTTGGTTTGCTGAGTTGCTACAAGCTTAAGTCTCGATCGCATTTGCCCCAAACCCGTGCAAGCCTAAACCCCATGAGCCTTAGAATCCCAATTCAAGCTGGAACTCGACATGAGGCAATGAGTTCAGCCTGTAGCAATGCCGGAACTTGTCCATGGACGATCCTGTACAATCTTCTCCCATTCCTGCCTGCTCCCCCAAACTGAAATTATGGAAGTCTTCAGCCATTCAACCGACATTCTCCTTGCATACCTGCTACATGCTCGCCAACATGACCCCTTTGAAGCTCCTCCACTCGAAAAAGCTGAGCTGAACAACCTTCTGGGCTAGGAACCCGTGGTATGAGCTGCGCTTGAAGTTCACTGCGTGCAGGCACAAGATGGTTGAGGGCTGGGGGCTTCTGCAGGTAAAGGTGGGTGGGTCGGGATAGGCTTCGGAGGCGAGGCTTCGGAAGGTTTCCAAATTTGGGGCAGGTCGACCGTAGGAGTGGTCCTCATACCAGCGTGATGGATCACAGAGTAAGGGAGTTGTCTCAAGAAGTCTTCTCATATCTGGTTCAAGCTGATGAAATAATTCTACCTGCCCAGTCTTTTCTGTTCCCATTTACCTAAGTAATACAATGACGTTGTGAGAACAAGAACGTTTTGACCCGATGTAGGGTAAGGTGTCGACAAGTGCAGTCACCTGCACTGCCAGAAACATAACTTTCAAACGTGTCAGCTGGAGGTTCTGATTCTGACGCGTGCTGGCACTAAGCTAGTACAACGAGCTGGGATTTTCTTTGGAGCCCCGGAATTTGCACAAGAGTGGACTCCAGGTGGACGGCTGGAGGACAGGAACTTGCTGTGGAGTGTGATGGGTCACAATTCTAATTGCTGCTCCACCGCGAGGCTGTTTATGTTCATCTGCAGCTTACAGTCACCCCGAAGCACTGCATGATCCCAACTGCTTGCATAAATTGCAACTCGGGGCACCACAGTCAGGAAAAAAGCTTGAACCATCAAACTCAACAACTCAAAATTTGGAATTCCCGAACCTGAACTCATGCGCCAAAGTGTTGCCAGGCTTCCGGCCAGGTGTGCAGCGCTCAGCGGACTGTCCGCCTGCAAGAATCGGTCTTGTCTGAAAGCATGTGTGCACAGTTTTGGCACCTTTCGCGCAAGTAGGGCTCAAGTGAGAACGGGAGAAAGGCTACGCGCATCCTCCACAGGAGGCCGGCTCCATGGCCCAGGGTGGACCAGTCGATCTGCGTTATCTGAAGCAAGTCCCTGCAGACCGTGCTCGATGCTTGGGTCCACCTGAATGCGACTTGGGGTCCATCCGATACCCAAACGGCCAATGCGGCGCTGGAGTCGCGCCTGGAGGAGCTCTGGGCCTCGCAGCCCGAAGCGGCGGCGCGGTGCCTGGAACTCGAGCCATCCGAGGGATCCCGGGAGGCGAAGCTGGCCGAGGCGCTGAGCCGCTACGCCCGGGCCGAGCGGCAGCGATGCTTTGTGAACTCCTTCACGGCCCAAGGCTTGGTGCGAGCGGAGGGGATGCGTGGGGTTGCGGCAGAGTTCGACGCTCGCTGCCGGGGGCTGGCCGGGCGCCTGGCGGCGGCCGAGGCTGCTGCGAAAGCAAGGCAGTGCAAGCAGTGCAAACGGCGCCGTCTGGAAAGTTCGATCTCGTCCTTGGGCCAGCCTTGCCATCTGTTGGCAGGCCGTGTGATTGAACTGGAGGTTGCAGCTTCCGAGAAGGCAGCCAAGCTTCAGGCAGTGCAGGCAGAGCAAAGCCAGCTGGCAGCTCGCCTGGGAGAGCTCTGCAAGCAGCAGGCTGCTCGCGTTGCCAAGCTGGAGGTCACGCTTTCCGAGAAGACTGCAGAGCTCCTAGCAGTGAGTGAGGAGCGCGATCGGCTTGCAGATCGGCTGGGAGAGGCAGAGGCGCAACTCCGGGCAGCACCAGACGAAGTCGCCAAGCAAAGTGAGCAAGGCAAACAGCTGGAAGGTCGAGTGCTTGCAGCAGTGCAGTCCGTTTTCGCTCGCTCTGCCCCTCTCACCGTGCAGAGTCCTTGCAGTTGCGCACGCCCGACCAGCTGGGATGCATCGTTGAGGATGATGTGGCTTCCGTGCTCAGCAGCTCGTCTTGGTTCCTGGTTAAGCAGCACTGCTTCATGATGGATGCCATCTTCAAAACACGCAGCTACAGCATGGATTTCTTCGTGATGGGCAAGGACCTCACCATCGGATCCCAGGTGGTTGCAGGTGATGACGAGACCTTGCTGAAGGTTGCCAAGACTCCGGAGGTCTGTCATGCTACGGAAGTGATCCTCTTGAAGGCCGGGGTGGCAAGCTTGCAGGTGACCAAAGACCACCTCATTCAAGTGCCTACCTTAGACTTAGATGGCAGCACGCGCTACGCCCAAGCCGGTACCCTCAGGCATGGTGATATGGTCATGCTGGATTCGGGGGAGCCTGTGGCCCTCACCAGTGTGGAACCCAAGTCTGTGGAGTGTGAGGTGCTAAAGATCGTCTTTGAACCTGACCTGCCCGTGGCCGTCTTCTCCTGCCCGCCCTGCATCCTCAGCAAAGGCCACAAGAAGAAGCCGCCCACCCGCCGTGGCGGGATGTGCCAGAGGGTCATCCCGACACAGTCGCAGGCTCGGCCAGTAGATGGAGCCTCCATCCCCATCACAGCGGGCGAGTACATGGACTGATGAGCCTTTCAAGGCTGCGGGGGATGTGGGAGCTTCTCAAGAGTGGTCCTACAGCTTATAGATGATAGAATCCTTGAGATAGACTCCCATCATCTCGTAGAATCATTATAGTCTTACATATCCGTAGCACCCCTACGGGAACCTTCCGCTTTGAGAAATTCCCATGCCAGGGCCAAGGAGCCACAGCCGATGAATTCAAGCGCCTGCAGCGGTGTTTGCCGAGTTGCTGAGTGCACGGCTACCCTGCCAGTGCCTGAGGCTGCTTGGTCTGCCGCTGGAGGTGTAGGAGCTCATGCAGCGCACGCGGTCCCAGATGCATTGTGATTACCCGTAAAGTCATTTTCCATAATGGGGATATTCTTTTGTAGACCTTGGCTCAGGCGACTTATCAGCCCAACTTCAAACTACCCTAGACGTTAGACTCCATAAACTCTATATGTATTCCCTGCAATCTCAAAAACCTTCAATCAGCATATAGCATTTCAGAGGGCGCGCAGTGCCTCATGAATTTGCTCCTGGCATGCACGGGAGAAGACCCTGCAAGGGTTTAGAGTGTACAGTTTACAGTTTAGAGTTCATGGTTTAGGATTTAAAGTGCAGGGTTTTATAGGGTCTGGAGTCAAGGGTTCAGCTTTCAGAGTTTAGGTTAGTGCGGTCTTCCTGGTGGCTTGGCTCACGATTTTGTGCCTGCCCAGACGACGGCAGGATGTGGGAGTTTCTCATGATGCTCCTTTTCAGCTCTAGCTTTGTAAGTGTCAACCCTAAACCTGAGAGCTCTAGCTCTAGAATCCGATCTCGGGTAGGTCCTGTGATTTGGCCGTTGGGCATCGCCTCGCATGGATCCAGCAGCTTGATCCTTTGCAATTCCAACCCAGACCCCCGAAGGTATCTAAAAACAAGACCCCCTAAGATAATACGAGTAATATATATATATATATATAGGGATAATACAAGGGGTTATTTATGGGTCTATATAGGGGGATCTACCAATTTAGATATTCCCAGGAATCAGGGAAGCCCATACTGTACCAACAGCAGTGTGAGTCATCAAGCTACGCATGGACTTATGAAATCCCCTCTCAAAACAGGGTAGCCCAGAAAACCTTAAAGGCATGTGCGCGCTATGCAGGAATCAACAGGAGAAAGCCCTAAATCGAAAACCTAACATCTCTAGACTTCTCCAAGAGTTCTGTCACAAGTATGTTGAGGACCTCCCAGTTGATGCTCTCGCTTTGCATTTGGAATCTGACGGTTTGAGCTTGTCTTCCGTTCTGCCGCCGCTGAAAAGGAGGCTTGTTGCAAGATCTGCAAGCTTTGCCAGACCCGGGGTCCACTCTCTTACATGCTTCAAGTACCCCTTAACATGAGGATAATCTAGTCTCACTGGGAGTTAGTAGGGAATAAGGGAATATAATCCCTACATCATCCCTATATACTATATTCCCCTGCTCCGTACTAAGCACCAGTAAGTAGCAAGTAGTAGACTGGCAAGGCCATAATGAAAGGTACCTGAACCCCAAAAAGTAGTTAAAATTGTAGCCCAAAAGACGTAAATATAGCCCAAAAGGCCATCATTCTACATACTTTTGGGGCTCAGGTATACCCTAGACCTCGAAACCCTCGACCCTAAACCCCAAACCCCTACCTTTTAGGGTTCAGGTAGTTGGAAACCCGAGGCCTGTCCGTTGGACTTACAGCATCCAAGAGCCTAAGTTGTTCATTCTGTATTTGACTCGCCCAAGGTTTAGGGTTTAGGGTTTACGCTTAGGGTTTAGGGTTTAGGGTTTATAGGGTTTAGGATAATCTTAAAATCCAGCCTTAAATCATGACTGAAAATTAAGGTAGCCTGTAAGCATGGCTTAGTCTTCAGCAATTCCCTACTAGGATAAAGAAGCCCACTTCCTTTTGTAACTAGGCTCTCCATGTCAGCCCCACACCATCCCCCTCCAAAAGCTTTAAGGAAGCCTTTGTTCCTGTTCGCAACCAGGTCGGGTGGCGCGGATGCAGCGGCGATACCGAACGGAAGAAGCAAAAGCAAGAACGGATAGTATGAAGATTGATTGATGACGTTTAGGGTTTAGTGTTTACAGAATACACAGTCATCAAGGTTGATTCAAAAATGGGAGGTCCGAAACGTCTTCATCCCTGATGCGTACCAAATGTATCAGGCCAGCGTTATCCCCATTGACTCCCGAGGTCCATGAGGCTATGAATTTTGAGACGTCGCCCGCTCATATCAACAAAAACCAACAGATCCTCTGTTAGCGGGATCAGGGTAGAGATTTCACATGGTTTCATGTCCCAGGTTGAATTAAAGCCTGAGCTTATTCCCTAACCACGTCTGTAGAAATCCACTCCAAGTTCTGAAGTAGTCAGTTCCGGACCAAGTGGGCCCAGAATAGAGATTCTCTAGCAAACATGGGCTTCATGCGGACTTAGCCTGCGGCAGTTTCAGCCTGCTATTGAGGGTATGTTTAACAAACACCCAGCAGGGCCAACAACGTTATTAAATCTACATACAGCCCCAGTCAAGACTGCTGAGCCATGGGCTCCTGCAGCTTCCATCCTTCACCGCATCCAAAGCATGATTATGCATTGAGGGCGCCTGCAACATGAGAGGTATGTGCAGTTTCGCAGAGAGTCCTGACAGCTGCCCTGGACCTTCGTCATTTATACCCCGGCCCAAACTGGAGATTTGCTTCCAAACGCCCCGAATATGAAGGATCCCGTGCCACACTGGAAGCCCAAAACAACAAGATGTTACTTTTGGGCATACAGTGTGCGGCTCCGCAGCTTCGGTGGTGTTTTACCTTCTGGAACTACCATAAACAGGGTGACCCCTCATGCTCTCATATACCATCATGTACTGTCATCCTTTTTATAGGTGCCCCCAAAAAGGAATCCTTCTTTTAAGTACCAGCCCTTCAGACCGCATACTTCTTCTTTAGTAGGGGTAACCCTTGGTTACCAGGTTCTACGCGACGAAGCGGGGCCAATTCACGATTGCCATGCTCTGGACCTAGACCCTCCTCCTACCCTCAGTTAGGGCCTAAGTACCCACTATTANNAGGGTACAAGGAGGGTCCTGGGAGGGAGCCAGGCTTGCTCTGCAGTTCTCCTCGAATTGTTTGGCGACAGCCCAAAATCTAACGAAGTTTCAGGTGGGCAGCTTCCCCCGTTTAAGCCTTGTGTAGCCCTTATATAGTCCTAGCGTCCCCATGTAAGCCTTACATAAGCCTTATGTAAGGGTGCTTACCTGGTAACTACCTACCTGAAAACTCCGGCAACAACATCTTCACATGCGACTCCCTCCACCGCAGCGTATATGGCCCATTGAAAGTAGGATCTTGGCCCTCCGACGCCGGGCGAAAGGTGCCATGGACGTGGCACTCCTGGTGTTAGCCTTGGAAATGGTGTCGGGGTTTAAGGGTTTAGGGCTTAGGGTTTAGGGCTTAGGGCTCAGGGTTTACAGGGCTTAGGGTATAGAGCTTAGGGTTTTGGGGTTTAGGGTTTAGGGTGGTGGCTCTTGCTATTTAGAGTATGAGTTTAGGAAGCCTGGACATCCAAATAGCCCCACACAAGGCCCATTTGTGGACTTGAGGGGCCAAACTAGGTCCCAGAGGAAGGCATTCGGGAATTACAGCCTAACATCATCTGAGCTTGATTTTTGGGAGCAATTTTCAGTTGCCCTGCCTCTGCCGTGCCGTATGGCAGCACTAGGGAAGCCTCAGAGAGTTGCTAGTTGAGAATTCTCTGCCATCCTGACTATGAGAGCGCAAACCCAAGAAAGCCTAAGCCACAACTCATTGAGACTCTACTCCCGAATGCCTCGTAGCCCAAGCTGCCGACCCCACTCTCAGCCCCGGACCCCATGTCCAAGGCATCCGATGTTGACCAGCTGTCGCAGTTGTTGGGAGAGCTCCTTAGCTGACAGCTGTCCATTCGAGGGCTTCTCGAAATCACCAGTTCAGCTACCGTCAATATCTGACAAGGGTGGATATATTTCCCTTTGGTACCTAGACCCTCCTCGTACCCTCAATTAGGGCCTAAGTACCCACTATTGGGGACCATATATCACCAATTAAGGTACAAGGAGGGTCCTGGTAGTTTGGGACCCATGGAAGTTTTGAGACAAATTTCTTTTGCATCTCAGGGCTCCATATCCTTCAGTGAAGTTTGAGTTTCGCATGCTGATAACGAGCTTGCCAGATTTAGGCTAAAAGGGTCCAGCTTCTCAGGTTTGTAGGGTCTAAGGTTTGCGGTCTGGGATGTGGGGGTCTTTGCAAGTAGGACTGTATCTTGGCGCCTCAGGTAGGAAGAAAGTCAACCCTGCTGAAAAACCCTTTCTTGGGTTTTGGAGCCCAGGGTTTGCTGCGGGGCGGACGGGGCAAACACCAACTCACGAAATATTACTGATTGTGTTTGTCCGCCGAAGTGCACTTAGAGCCCTAATGTCGCAGCATGCTGGGGTTCCAAGAGGGACGTCATAGGGTGACAGAGCCCTGAACCCCAAACCCTTGCACCCCTCAAGCCTACTTGAACCCCTAAACACCCGAACCCGTAAATCCCCTAAACCCCTAACCCCTAAATCCCCACAAAACCAATCTCCCAATCCCAAATTCAGGTGCCACTTGCACGAGGAGCGAGAGGCCTTGGCGCAGCAGTCTCAGACAGGAACGGCTTATACCCTGAAAGACATGGAACTCCAAAATGTTTCTGGTGGCTATACAAGGGTATACGGTTTATACCTGAACCCCAAATGTATGTAGAGTGATAGCCTTTTGGGCTATGTTGGGCCGTCTTTTCACCCACTTTTGTATGCCTCCCTCAACTCCAGATGAACCTCAAAAGGGGCCGTGAAGAATGTGGGGGATCTCAAGCCCTACCCTCAACCCCTAAACCCCAAACCCCTGTAACCTTAACCCTCTAAACGCTGAACCCTTAAACCCCAAGCCGTTAAATCCTAGGGTGTCCTGCAGAACTTCGGGGAGGCTTTTGGT